ATGCTGATAATCCAGCCATGGAATTTGAAGAAGTAGAATGTCCAGCTGAATTAATTGCTAAGACAGGATGTAAGCGTCTTTAAATAAAAGTGATAATAAATCAGAAAACAAATTATAATATATAGTGAAATGGAATAAAATTTATTATTATTTTTTTTTTTTTATTTTGTTAAATATATATAATATATATATTATTTAAAATTTAAAAGTCTTTTAATTTTTTCATTAAATTTAATACCATAAAATAAATTTTTTTTCATTAAATTTAATACCATAAAATAAATTAAAGATAATTATATATTTATAAAAAAAAAATAATAATAATAAAATAAAATAAAAAAAAAAAAAAAAAAAAAGGAAGCATGTATATAAATATTTTTCTTAAAAATTAAAGAAATAAAAAAGAAAATTATATTAAAGTTTTGTTTCAAAAAATTTTATGTATCTTTATATTTATTTAATGTGTATATTTGAATCTTAATATTAGAAAGTATTTTATTTTATCTATATAAAAATAGCATATAAAAATTAAATAATTTATTAATTATAAATTTTATAAATTTAATTTGGTTAAATATAATGATTGGAAAGTAAAAAATATTTAATTGTATTTTAAAATTAGAACAACAGATCCAAGTCTAAAAAAAAATAAAAATAAAAAAAAATAAGATAAAAAATAAAAAGTAAAATATAAAAAATAAAAAATAAAAAATAAAAAATAAAAAATAAAAAATAAAAAATAAAAAATAAAAAATAAAAAATAAAAAATAAAAAATAAAAAATAAAAAATAAAAAATAAAAAAAAATAAAAAAAAATAAAAATAAAAATAGTATAAAATATTTCTGATACTTTAATAAATTAATTATAATTATTACTATATAATAGAAAATATAATTATATATATAATTATCTTATTTTATTGTTTTATTATTTATTTTACTTTATATATTATTATATGAAAATCAAGAAAATTAAATGAAAAGTTATCAAATAAAAATTTAACATTGGAAATCATAAATTTTTTAGTTATATTAAAGTTACTGATTTTAAAATTTTATTTCATATTAAATAAAATTTATAATAAATATAAATTTATAATAAAATTATATATTATATATTATATATTATATATTACATAATAAAAAAAAAATAATCTTTATATATAGTTTTTTTTCTTTTATATGTTTATGCCGTTATTTGTTGCTTTTAAAAAAAAAAAAAAAAAAATAGCAAAAATAATTAAAATATTAATATTAATTAAAATATTTTAATTTAATAAATTAATATTTTAACTATTTTTTTTTTTTTTAAATAAATATATATATATTTAAAGTTTGTAATCTTTTTTTTTTATTATTATTTTATCTTATCCATTCCTTCTTTTGGTTTATTTGTTCAATTTCATTTTAATGTTTTATGGTTTAAGAACCAATGAAATAAAAATCCCAAAATTTTTTTTTAATTACCAATTAAACTTTATGATATATTAAAAAAATTTTTTTAATAAAGTCAGATCACATTTACCTTAACCTAAAAAAGTAAAAATTAATTTTAAAGTTTATATTAATATTATATAAATATAAACTTCAAAAAATTAATTTTTATTTTTTTCACGTCCTTAACGGAAAAAAAAAGTTTGAAACAAAAATGAATGACTAATTATTGAAAAATTTAGAACTTTAATATTAATTTTTATTTTTATTTTTATTTTTTTTTTTTTTTTTTCTATAGTTTTAAAATTTTCAATAATTAGTCATTCATTTTTGTTTCAAACTTTTTTTTTCCGTTAAGAACTATAAATAAAGTGAAAAATTACTTTTTTTTTATTTTATTTTCAAGTCAATATTTATCAAAATAATATTGAAAATAATATTTTGCAAAAGTATTAAAAAATATAGAACTTTTAATAGTTATTATTTATTTATAAAAAAATTTTATATATAATAAATTTGAAAATTTTTAATTTCTTTATTTTAAGAATTTTTAAGTAAATTTATCAAATATTTTTAAAATAAATTAAAATAATCTTTTAAAAAAAAAAAAAAAGTTAAAAATAAAAAATGAATTCTAAATTATTATTATCTATTGCTGCTATTATTGGTGCTGCCGTTGCTGCTGGTACAGGTCCTCACGGCGCTCCTTTATGTAATGGTTGTACTATCACTGGTACTGGTGGTGACAACAGTTTATGGGGTTGGGAAAATGAAGTAGCTTGTGAAATTGATACAGCTAAATGTGGAGGTAACGGTAATAACAATAACAACAACAACAACAGTTGGAATAACAACAACAATAACAATAATACTTCTTCTCAACCACGTGTTATTTCAAGTGGTAAAAGAACTGGTAAAACCACTCGTTATTGGGATTGTTGTAAACCATCTTGTTCATGGTCAGGTAAAGCTTCTGTAAGTTCTCCAGTAAACACTTGTAACAGAAATGGTTCCATCATATCTGATGTTAATGCTAGAAGTGGTTGTGATGGTGGTGAAGCTTTCATGTGTACTGATCAACAACCATGGGCTGTCAGTGATACTTTATCTTATGGTTTTGCTGCTGCTTCTATTTCAGGTGGTTCTGAAGCTTCTTGGTGTTGTGCCTGTTACAAACTTACTTTCACTAGCACTTCTATTGCCGGTAAACAAATGATTGTTCAAGTCACTAATACAGGTGGTGATCTTGGTGAAAATCACTTTGATCTTCAAATGCCAGGAGGTGGTCTTGGTATCTTCGATGGATGTTCTACTCAATTCAATACCAATGCCGCTTCATGGGGTGAACGTTATGGTGGTCTTCGTTCTGCTGATGGTTGTGCCAATTTACCAGCCTCACTTCAAAAGGGATGTCAATGGAGATTTGATTGGTTTGAAAATGCTGATAATCCAGCCATGGAATTTGAAGAAGTAGAATGTCCAGCTGAATTAACTGCTAAAACTGGATGTAAGCGTCTTTAAATATAATAATAAGATACTATAAACAAATTAAAAAGGAGGAAATAAAGCAAAATAAAATAAAATAAAAATTTTGTTTTGAAGTTATTTAAATAAAAAATAACTCTTTAATTACGTTTTATCTGTAAAATATAAATATATAAATATTATTTAGAACAAAAAATTTTATTTAGTATAATAAATTTTAATATCAATGTATAAATTTTTTTAAATAATAATACGTTTTTTTATATTAAAAAAAAAAAAAAAAAAAAAAAAAAAAAAAAACATTTAATAAAATGTATATAAATTTTTTTTCTTAAAATAAATGAAATAAAATAAATAAATAAATAAAAATTTTAAAATTTAAAAGTTATGTTATAATAGTTTTTACATATATCTACAATTTGTATCATTAATTCTTTGAGTACTATATTTTAAATAATCATATTGAAAGAATGTATTATTCAATATTTATAAAAAAAATTTTTTTTTATAAATTGTTTTTTTTTTTTAATAAAAAAAAAATTTATTTATTTATTTATTTATTTATTTATTTATTTATTTATTTATTTATTTATTTATTTATTTATTTGAAAAGAAAGTACTAAATTTACTATAATTAAGTATATTATAACAATTTTTTAATTTTTTAAATATTATTATACGAAAGGAAATAATTAAATAATTAAAATATATATTGATATATATTTTTATCATTGAAAAATATTAATATCTTTCGTCATACTAATAATATTGATTTGTTCCAATTTTTTAATAAAGCACATTTTATGCAACATACCATATTGTGGATCTTTATTAATATTTTTATCAATTTTGTAATAAAAGCGATAATATAAGTAAGAGTATAGGAAGTTTTTATCATAATCATAATGAATATTAAAACTTTCTCATGAATTGGTTTCCATAAAGTAATTTTGTTGGAATATAATTTGAAATTAAAAAATTTTCTTTAAAATTTTTATAATAAACTTTTTTATTTTCATAAATTTTAATTGTGATTTGGAATTTTGGCCAAACTTAATTATTTATCTGGATGGTATCTTCAGAAATTCCTTTGACTAAAATTTTTGGTTTTAATTTATACTTTTTTTTAAATTTAATGTTTTTACTAATTCTTCTGTAATAAAAATACAAAAGGAACCTGAATCTACCATAGATTCAATTTTTAATTTATTATTATCATGTTTAATATTTTTTTATTTCATTGTGAAAATGTTGTTGGAATATATGTATCAAATAAAAGAAAAGTTGAAAGTAACTTTTTATTAACGATATTATTAAATAAAGGGAAATTATAATGGAAAAATTTTTTTGCTTTTATTTTATTGGACTTCCGTTGAAGTCCATTGTTTAGTTTTTTTTTTGTTTTATTATTATTACTACTAGTTTTATTACTATTAAAACTATTATTATAATTATTGTATTTATTATTATAAATTGTCATTATTAATATGGGCATATGGAAGTTTAGAATTTCTTTTTTTTTGTATGTTTTGGTGTATTATTATTATTTGTTCTTACTTGATTTTTTGTTCTTACGAGATTTAACAAAATTTATGTTTACATCTTCAGTAAAAATTTTAGGAATTAGAAGTATTATTTTAATTGTATAGGAATATTATAATTTTATTAATAAAATTTACTAAACAACCATTATTTTAAAAAGCCCACTGTACTGCTTATAAATTATTGCACATAACATAAAAGTCCCGCATATCAAAATAAAATACACGTGACGTCAAATGTAAAATTGAAATTAATTATTAATATATACCTTATTTACTAATATTCTCAGAATTATTAGGCCTAAGATAATCCTTTAAATATTAAAGGAGAATTTATATTAATTATTAATTATTAATTATTAATTATTTAAATATATATATATATTATTTATAATTACATAAATAATATTTTTTAATTATTGAAATATAAATAACTGAAATTGAAATTCCAATTCAGTTATAATTTCAACAACAAAAATAAAAATTCACTTTGAATTATGTTTATTTTAATTTCCATTCCTTATTATAGAGTTTCATCAGACGGGGTTGGCCGAGTGGTCTAAGGCGCCGTACTTAATATACGGTTTCAAAAGAAGTGCGAGTTTGAATCTCGTATCCGGCAATGATATTTTTTTTTAATAATATTTTATTTTTTTATTTCTATATTTCTTTATTTTTTTTTTTATTTTATTTTTTTATTTCTATATTTCTTTATTTTTTAATGTTTTTTTTATTTTTATTTTTATTTTTATTTTTATTTTTATTTTTATTTTTATTTTTATTTTTATTTTTATTTTTATTTTTATTTTTATTTTTATTTTTATTTTATTCTTTTTTTTTTTTTGACTTTTCCAGTTTTTTATCCCAATAATTGGTATTTTTGCAGCTAACACACACACACACATTACACACTTTAAAAAAAAAAAAAAAAAAAAAAAAAAAAAAAAATTTTTTTTTTTTTTGGATTACTTTTTCCCCTCCAGGGAAGGAAGAAGACCGACAATCGGACCGACTTAACCCTCTTGAAATTTATATATATAAATATATATATATGGGTATATGGGGGAGTGTTTTTTTATTATTATTATTTTTTTTTTCATCCTCCCTCATAAGGATGTTTTTTTTTTTTTTTTTCTTCTTCTCACTATATCTATCTTTGTGTAGGAAGTTAGTGTTCCCTAATTTTCTATGCCACAATTCAATATGTTCATTTTTATCTAATTTTCCTATATGCTTTCATTAAAAATCATTTTTCTATTGTTTTTTAAGTAGTACTTTTTGAAAAATATTTTATGTTTTGATAGGAAATGGAAATTGATTAAATTTAGATGATAGGTAAGTAAACCTTAAACCTAGATTATTTTTTTTTTTTTTTTTTTTTTTTAAACTTATCCCATAATTTTTAATCTTGCTTTTTTTTTTTTTTTTTTTTTTTTTTCTCCATCAAAAGAGTTAATTAATGATATGATATAAATCTTGATTGCTACAAAGTTTTATCTACCACTAATAAGATTTTGATGAACACTATAAGAAGATTAAAACTTTTTTTTTTTTTTTTTTTTTATTTCTAGCTTAATATATTTTGTATTTTTTTTTTTTTATTTCTAGCTTAATATATTTTGTATTTTTTTTTTTTTATTTCTAGCTTAATATATTTTGTATTTTCTTTTTTATTTCTAGCTTAATATATTTTGTATTTTTTTTTTTTTTTTTTTTTTTTTTTTTTTTTTTTTTTGAAACATTCAGTAAGTTTTATATCCTTCAAATGGGTAAATTGAACCATTCATAAAATTATAAAAACCTTAACCCTAATTTAAATATTATGTATTTATTAAAATCTGAAAACGCCACATTTTCCGAAATACAACGGTTATATAGAATAATTATTTAAATAGTATTTAATTTTAAAGCTATTTTTTAATATATATATATATATATATTTTTTTTTGTAATAATAATATAAAAAAAAATTATTTAATAATATTTAATTTTATGCATTATATTTTACTATTTATATATTTATTATTATTTATTTAATATATAAATAAGATATCTATAAAATTATATGGAAGTATTTTTGTTACAGTATGTGAATTTATATATTATTAAATGATTCTAGAATAATGATAATGTAAATTATTAATATATTAATATAAACGTAATATAATGTCATTGATTAAAAAGTATTCTAAAAATAGGATTAGCCGATGAAGCCAGTATTTCTAATAATTCAGACCCTAATGAAGATGATACTTGTATTTTACGAATCTATCGACACAGAAATAAATGGTAAACCCGATTCGCGATGACCCGGATACTGACAATAAAGAAATTCCTGATAATAACCTCATCTCAAGTGGTGCTAACAAAATAAAAATATACTTCTTTCCTACCTAAATACTTTCAGTATTATTTATAGTATTCATGATTTGGCAATTATATATTATATTTTTGAATTTTCAATATTTTATACAATATAAAAGAATTACTCCTTATGTCACTTAATAAAATATCCATTTAAAAATATCATTATATTTAATTCCATAATCAAAACTATAGATACTTGTGGACAGAGAAAAGAAAAGAAAAAAAAAAAAACACAGAATATGTAATATATCATATATTAAAATATACAATAATATATATTCTACTTAAAGAGGTTAATCCCAAACGCACATATTAAATCTACTTATATTTCAAAATAGTACTAGAATATACAACATTAACAACATTAATTTGTAAATTAACTTAGAATTAATTTATAATAAATTATTTATAAATGAAAAAAAAAACTATATATATATAATTAACTTGTGGTTAATTAATCTACCAAAATATTGTACAAATATATAGTATATTATTATAAAGTGAAACACATATATTTAATTATATCCGGAATATACTTAACAGTTACTGCTTAACTACAAAACGGAAATTCGAAGGAGGATATCCCCAAGTACTAATAAACATTACATTAAGTACATATTAATAAATAAAATAGAAATGCATAGCGTGAAATGATGAGCATATTCTACAATATTATTATAAATTGAATGCCAGGCGTGAAATGATGAGCATATTCTACAATATTATTATAAATTGAATGCCAGGCGTGAAATGGAGTATATTCAATATTTTACTTTATATTATGGTATTAACTTAGCGTGAAATAAGTATTTACCATAGATACTAACTAATTTTTAGGTGATGGTGTAATGCCTTCATATAATCGTAAGGATTCCATCCACAATGGAATAACAACACTTTCTTTGAAAAGGTTCCATTGCTATCATGATGACATCAGATTCATTTATTATATTATAAATGAAATCAATTTTAATACCCCCCGGAAGATTATATATAATTTATCAAGTCCACCAATATATAATAATCAACAATTTGATGTAAAACAAACAAACAAATAGTTTCATAAGCGATTTCATAATGAATATTTAAAAGCAATCGCAAGGTTAATACTAAATCCACAAAAGAGTGATAAATAAAAGAATGGAAAATTGGTTATCTCTTAACCAACAAAAGTATATAGTATATATACTGATACAAGGTTAATTACTTTATCCCACAAAAAGAGATTATAATAAAAGGTTTCTATCTCTTGATCCAATGAAAGTAAGGTGGAAGACTATAAATCCAAGATACCACTACTATTATAAATTTATATATCTAAAAATTTTTAACAGGTAAATATTAATTTTATATAATGATAGCAAGACACTTTAATGTAACAAAACTTATATTCGATGAAAAATTTTTTTTCTACAAAACTCATCTAATATGAATCTCGAAACTGCAAAAAAAAAAAAAATGAATAATCAACTTTTTAATAACTTGAAAATCCACATATTAATTATAAAATAATATGGATTTTTAGAGGGAAATAAGATATGATGAATTATTTAAAATTTTTATTAAAAAGAAACAAAATATTATTAAATTTCCCACAAGCAAGCAATTGAACAAAATACACCTAGATTAAATAATTACTAACACGTTGTAAAATCAATAAATTCGACTATTTTAATAATAGTTATCGCTAAAACTACATAGCGAAAAATATATAAAAAAGTTAACGCTAATCTATAAAGAGGATTATATATATAATTGAAAAGTGATGTAAAACCCAACGTATAAGAGGTATTCACACAAATTGAGATAGTATAACATTACCCTTCAAAAAAAAGGTTTCCATCATACAAATGGTAATATATAAACCATATAGTATAAGTATAAGAGATGTTTTAGATACATCTAATATTAATGGTGTAATAATATTAAATACATAGTTTTAGGAGGAAAGTCTTTGATTACAAATATAATTAAGAAATTATTTTTAACAATATTTCAATAGAATTAAAGAAATTAATAAAATGTAAAAATATTTTTATTCATGTAAAAAATTAAAAGGTTAATTTAGAATAGAAATAATTTAATAGTTTAATAATATCAAGTTAATATTATAAAATAGAATAATTTTATAGACATATATTCACCAGTAGTCCAATTTATTCATTATAGAATAACTAGATTTAAGGGGGAATGTTACAATATGAGAATTTATAGAGTAAATGAATCTAGAATAATAATAATGAAAATTATTAATATATTAATATATTAACATAATATATATTGAACAATCCACATCTTTGTTTTAAATACATTATGTTAAAAATTGCTAATCACTTATTTATATTTACTATTATAAAATAACCTTATATATAAAACATGGTATTCAATAATAAATTTTTATTTATTTTTTATTTTATAATTAATTCATTAATATTATTTAAGATGAATTATTTTTATTCTTTATCCATTTTTTTTTTTTTATTGCATTCATTTATTTATTTATTTTTTATTTTTTTTTTTCTGAAATGCAACTTTCCCATAAAATGCCATTAAAGTATCAACGCTTAAAAATGCAGTTAAGATAGGATGTCTCTGAAGGAGAAGATTCATAATTTCTTTCAGATAGTCAATTTAAGCCCTAATCCTGAATAGGATTTCGCTTTTTTTTTTTTTTAAGGGAAATCCTATAAATCTTGGAGATGAGGTTCGTGACTTGTGAATTTTTTTTTTTTTTTTTTTTTTTTTTTTTTTTTGAATTTATTTATTACCCCTTATTTAGTATTACTGTTCTAAATATTTGTATATCCAAATTGGACAAATAATATTTATATATATATATATATATTATTATTATTATTAATTCTGTTTTTTTTTTTTTTTTTTTTTTTTTTAAAAAAAATATATATATATAAATATATATATATATATTCATGTAATTAATAAATAAAAAAATAAATAAATAAATAAATAAATATGGTTACAAGGTTGCAATAACTGTAATGGCTGTTAAAAAACATAAAACGCCACAATTAAAAAATAAAATTTGAAGAATTTATAACTTGGCGAAATGCATCACCTTCATAAAACAGTAGCTCAAATAACCATAATCTGAAACAGAATATCGTTATAAAGGATAAGCCATCATTAAACAATAAGACTTTAAACAGAAAAGAAAGAAACTTAACCCTTATTGATATACTCTATACAAATTTATTTAAAAAAAGAATTTTTTTTTTTAACAAAAGCTAAAAAGAA